AAAAAAAGGCAGTTAATATCCAGGAGGATTGGAAGGAGACAAAATATAAAGCTTCTGAAAAACCTTAACTCCAGAGTCTTTGCCTCTACTGCATTTGATCCATAGTAAGAATGGAAACACCAGAAAACTTTTGTTGCAGTTTTTTTGGCAACAATTCGAGAGGCAGGAACATTTCTTACAGTTAACTCAAAGTGATTTTTTTTTGTGTGTGTTTTAGGTATTTAATTTCGCCCGTCAAAATTTTGATTAGTGAAAATTAGAGCTATTTCAAGTGTTCCAATTTAAAGCAACAGTTCATTAATCATATTCATCTGCTCCTCCTAAATAACATGTTTCTCCCAAGTCCAAAAATGAAAGGCTGTTTTATTTTAAATAACAGACAGTGGGACAACAGCACTATCAAAAGGGCCTTGTGAAAAATCACAGGCAAAAATAGTAAGTAGTAGGTTTAAGTACACAGAGGGAAATTCCATTCCTTGGTGCTTTCTGTTTCTCAAACCATTAAGATGTAGAAAATGTTAATTTTGTTGAATGGCTAGTAATTATAGTAAAGATTGAAACTGTCCTGCAAATGAAGATGTCTTAATTAGAAAATGAACAATCTTATTTAAAAGGACAGTAAGACCAGAAACACAGAAGAGAAAAAACAGGGTAATTCATGGACCTATCAGAAAAGCTTAGGGGCTCATTATTTTAAATCATCTTTTCTAGAAATAGGATGATATATAGAATATATATGGAATAACCTTGATGCAGAGCCCACTTGTGTAAATGGAAAGATTTGCTCTGACTTCAGAGAGCCTTGAATTGGGCTCTCTGAGAACAAGAAATACTTTTGCCATCCCTCTCCTCCTATTCCATCTACAGAATCCTGCTTGGATTTCTCTAACATCCCTACAGACAAATAAAAAGACACGTCCTTTTATTATTATTTTTAGCTTTATGATTCCTTCCATCCAATAATTCACTTTTTGAGGCAGATGACGAGCTGGTTATGACCAGGCTCGATCTTTGTAGTAGATTTTGTTGGGTTTTATGAGCAGCACATTAGCAGAGAATAATTCATGTGGGAATTCAGGTTTGAAAACCAAACCAACAAATCAAAACGAGTGGGAGCTGAATTCTGCAGCTGCAGAGTTTAAATGTGGGCAGATGGTCATCGAAAATGTTTCTTTCCCTGTTCTCCTCAAATGGGGCTGTTGCTCCCAGTAGTAGCAGTGAGTGTTGCCCCAAAGAAATGCAAGTTTATATCTTACCAAACCCCTTGGTACCTCTAGCACTGAGGAAACCAGTGTGGGTTTTTGCATCTACACTTTAGATGTGATTTTTTTTCTTTCTCCTTTTTTTTTTTCTGGACTAACAGATAAGGCAAAAACATGGATACATTACATACTTCCATAACACAGTTCCAATATCAGATTAAGGATCCCTAGAACAGTAGCACTACTGATAATCCACCAAAACATGCATGACAGAAAATCTGAGAGACTGTGAAAACCAGATTCAAAGGAATGTATTTTTAAGAACAACTTCTCAGGCAGTTTTAAGGCCTCACAGAACTTTTCTTGTCTGTTAGACAACATATGTATTTCTATATTTAATACTGAGGGAATTGTTCACATTAAAAATATTATAAACTGATTAATCTGCACGATGGCAAAGACTTAGAAAACATAGAAATCTTTTGTTATAGTAATGGAAAACTGTAAATAAATGTGGCTTTAGTTGTACTGTGTGACTATAGAAGACAAACACATCTTTTCAGCTGCGCCATGACAAGTCACTTCACTAATTTCTTCCCTCAACTGTATTATGAAACAAGAAATTTGTTTTGATGATCACCAGAATGGCTAAGGGGAAAAATAAACCAAATAATAATATTGAAATAAACGAAGCAATAGCATTGAATCACTCTTCCCTGAAAACTATAATCCTTTTTTTTTTTTTTTTCCTT